CGCAATTCGATCAGGCTGTGGCTGACAGGGAGGGAAGCTGGGCCTCCTATATACACTTGCATATATAAGGAACAAAGAATATGGGAAGAGGCAGCAACAAGAAAGGGTCCTCGGCCCCCAATCCTGAGAAACAGGCAATAGCGGACACCGCACCAATAGACATAAAGCGCCATCTAGAGAGCCTCATAGATCAGTTCAGGAATGAAGTTATTAATGACCTGAAGCTAGAAATAAGCAGAATAGTTAGAGAAATGCTAAGCACCACCCAAGAAAAAACAGATGGTGGAATGGAAGAACAGAAAAAGAGGGGAGAATTGTTTGATGGAGAAAATAGAGAAAGCATAGAATACGTGAAGCAGGTTCAAAGAGACTACCAGGAAACTGAAAACTGGCATAACAGCTTGAAAGAAACTAAGGACAGACTATCTGAACTGGAGGGCAGATTTGTAATATGGGAGAATGAAATGAAAAACTTCTTAAAAGTAAAAAAGAAACAAAGAGCAATAATACAAAGACTAGAAGATGATAAGAGGATCCATAACTTAAGAATTAAGAACATAAGAAGTAGGGACACAAACAAATGAGCTACAAAAGCTACTCACAGAAATAATCTAGGAGAATTTTCCTAATTTAGCAAAAGGTAAAGATACTCAGATGTATGAGGCATACAGGACCCCAGCCACCTACAACCCAAGCAGAGCAACACCCAGGCATATAATAATAAAAATTCCAGAAATTCAATACAAGAACAGAATATTAAAAGCTGTCAGAGACAAGAAACAGACCACTTACAAGGGAACACTCATCAGAATTACAGCAGATTTCTCTGCACAAACCATCAAATCACGAAGAGCGTGGGGGGAAATAATTCAAGCTTTGAAAGATAATAATCTCCAGCCAAGATTGATATATCCTGCACAACTATCCCTGGAAATTGGGGGAAAAACAAGGTGCTTCCAGGATAAAGGGGAACTGGGGGAATTTACAACCACCAATTCAACTCTACAGAGAATACTGCAGGATATTCTAAAAAAGAAAAATACCAAGAATCCAGAAATAGTGGCAGAGAGGCCACAATGAATGGAGCAGAAAACAAAATGAAGAAGACAAACTGACAACTAATGACAGAAAAAGAGCTCAACAGAAATGCGGCAGAGAAGATTGGATGATAGGAACAGCTATTTGGGAGAAAATGACGTCCTAATAGGTAATACTGATTTAGTATCATCTTGTTTTGAAGTCTCATCAAGCTTTTGTTCTTCTGTCTCCATTGGTCTAAACAGGTTGTATCTTATTGGATTTTATTATGTACGATAGTATAAGCAAAAACTTTTAAAGACAAGGAGATTATACAGAAACCATTGTTCATTTTCTGTTAGTTGATTCTAAATACCCTGTAATGCTGTCATTCTCTTAAATGGTTTTACATTGTTTTGATATACTTGATGCTACAGTATACGAAGTTATACTCAAAGATTTTAAGGAAAGAGACAATATGGTAACTACTTTTATGTCAGGATTATCTTGTGGTGAAACACTATTCTGCTTAAATGGTTATGTTTTGATCTGCGCTGTTTTGCTGTTATGCCCTCTTTTATCTCAATCTCCACTTCATTATTTACTTTTTTATTTTTATCCTTTTAATTAAGGGAAAAATAAATAAAAATAGCAGGATATATTATAGTAACCCACTTTGACTTTCCATTATCTTGATTTAAAGCCCTGTATTACTCTCACCATCTTGTTTTTGACTGATGTCCCCCTATTCTGTTTTGCTTGATAGTACCAGGTTCGAAAGTTTAGGCAACAGCTGTGAAGATAATGAGATTCATTATGACGCCCATTCTCGTTGACTTTTATCTACTTTTGAAGACCTACAATGTCTCCAATGTTTTGATTTTGTCAGTTTTGTTCTTTACTGTTTTGTTCAATTTTATTATAACTGATGATATAGGCAATTCTATTAGAGATAGCGGGAGGCATTATGGTAACCATTGTTGATCACCTTGTATTATGCTTTTACATTATCTATTATGTCCACCCTTTTGATTTGATTGACTCTGTTCTGTTAGGTCACATTTGGTTCTATTCCCTTCCAAAAAAGTAATAAGAACTGTGGGAGCAACAAAACCCAAAATGTGTAATTGTCATTGTACAAAAGAGAGGAAAAGAAAGTGCTCTAAACGATATAACTGCATGTATATTTAAGTGTATAAGATAGAAAATGATATCACTGAGTTTTACTGGATCATTGAACAGAACTGTTTGCAGTCTCACTGTTGGAATGTCCACTTTACAAGCTTTGATTTTGTGACTTGAAGAATTATTTCTAAGATGACAATATGTAATCCATTAACTAGTGATTTCCTGTTTATTTTTTTCTGTAAATCTGTATAACTTGTACCCTTTCTCTGCTTTTTTTTTTCTCTCCTTAAATAAAATTTAAAAAAAAAATAAAAAAAATTAACTTGTTTGGGGATTATACTTTGGGGATTATTTACACAGTACCAATATTTTTATTTGTAATTAACAATTTTGTATATATTCCTCAAAACACACTAAATATAACAATATCAAAAATAACAAAACTGCCTGGAGTGGTGGTACACACCTACAAACTTAGCATTTAGGAGGCTGAGGCACAAGGATCACTACGAGGTCAAGGCCAGCCTGGACTACGTAGCAAGACCCTGACTCAAACAAACAAACAGACCAAAACACAAAAAAAAAAAAAAAAAGAAAGAAAAGGAAAGGAAAACACTTTAAGAATTTAAATTAACACAAATAAGAGTATTTTTTGACTGAATTTTATTTACAATAGGCCTTCTGAATCAGACTATAACCAAACCATACACAGACTCAAAAATATTCAGAAAAAAATAAATGTATCTGTACTTAATATGTACATACTTTTTTGGTCATTGTTCACTAAAAAATATAATTTCTTATATAACTCTTATACAACTGTTCTTATATAACTATAAAGCATTACATTATAAGTAAGCTACAGGTGATTTAACATTTACAATGTATGTAGATTATATGCAAATATTATATCAGTTGCATCCAGGGATTCTGGTATTACAGAAGGAAGAGAAACATATTTGCAAGCCAGTTAGTAAAGCCTCCATTGGTCTTGAGGCCAATATCCTGGACACATCAAGGGAAAAGTGCTTTTTTGTGGTCCTGATTGTTCAATGAGTAACACACAGTCATTATGAAACATAAGATCAACTCTATCACAAACTACTGCTGAAGTATAAACTCCAGGATTAAAACAGGTATCAACCACTTTAAACTTTTCTGCTCTTATTCACCCTCACATAGTAATCTGAAATGACAACAATAAATGTAATAAAATGTCTGCTGAGATACCACTTACTAGGAAAGGCCTAGGTTAATAATGGTGAACCTTTTAGAGCTTTCAATGACACAAATAGCCTGCAGCAGGATGCGTGCTATAGTCAGTCAGGTATTTCCTTCTAATAACAGAGGAATGATTAAATTGCAGCATATACACATGATAGGAGCAGTCATATAATAATACTGAAATAAAGAATACACTGACATGCTAACTATACATATGGTTAGGTGGCTACGTACAGTGTTCCCACATTGCTTAATTTTTATATATTCATTTATGTGTTTTGAGCAGGATAGGAAATACTAAACGTTTATAAATGTGTATGTGTTGAATTCCATGAGATCAAGAGTCACATAACACGTACATATTCCTGTACCTCCACACTTATCACAGGTGTCAGGTTGTAAAAGTTGAGGGTTCAAGAAGGCACTCTAAAGAAAAAACTGCCTGGATCTGGTTTTGAGTTCTATCATTTACAAGCTATAAGACTTCAGGAAAATTAAATAACTTCTAAGTACTTAAATTAACCACTAGATATCTTACTTCCTCTTTTTGAAAAGGTGGGACTAATTATAACAGCTATACAATGGAAGAAAACATGAATTACTATACATAAAGTATTTAAAACAGTGTCTGGCATATAATCATGATCCAGTAGCTTGGGAAGGCAGAGAATAGTGGAAGGTAGTACAAAAGACCTTCAAATACATAATCTCTCATTTAATGACCTATAATTGTTCAGACTTAAGACACATCTTCTTTTTTTAGGTTTCCTTTGACCATTTCTCTGTTTGGAATATTGTATTGTACATACTCTACACAATTCCTCATTGAACAACTAGTAGTGGGAACACAAAGGAAGAATGTCTATAGTGGAAAAAACAACTGGAGTATTTTAAAACACACATAGAAATGGCACTAAGCATACACAAAAGATGAAACATGGTTTTCAAACTTTGCTTTTCACAAGATACATGTTTTCTGACTTTTTTTTTCCCCAGTAGTGGGAATTGAAACCAGGACTTTCTCATTTGTTCTACACCTCTCCTCCTTTTTCTATTTTGAGACAGGATGTTCCTAAATTGCTAAATCACCTAGACTGGGCTCAAATTTATGATCCTATTGACTCAGTCTCACAGAGTGCCCCATCAAAAGTTTTATGCATGTGCATGTCACAATCTGGTACACATTTATGTACCAATAATTTATTTGATATAATCAATTTACTTAAATGTAGATCGTAGTCAGTTATAATGACTTTATAGTTAGAAGGTCCTCTAGTTATAATTAAGAGGGGGAGGGGAAGAGAAAAGACAGAATGAGGAAGGGAGGAAAAGAAAGGAAAGAATGAGAAAGAAGAAAAAGAAAAAAGAAAGCAGGAACAGGAATAAGGAAGAGAAAGAAAAAAGAAAGGACAGAAAGGAGAGAGGAAAGGAAAAAGGGGGGCGGAGAGAAAGGGAAGATCTAAGGTCCAAAAATATACAAGTCTAACTTGTTCCTTCAATTCCTAATTTTCTTTTATATTCTTCCATATTTTATACTTTTTAAACTACCAGAAATCTCAATATAAAACCTTAAGAGATCATTAAAAGGTATACAGAAATTTGTAAGTTTCACCTAGGAAGATTATACTTACACAATCGACAGCAGTGCTAGATAGAAGTAGGAAGTATCAAAGAACACAGGCCGCACATGTGGTTTTACTGTGACAAATGCCCTTTTACATTTCTTCTGACCGCCACTCCTCCCGGCAGATAGGCCTGCATACACCTCTCAGAACATATGGCAGTACTTCTTGGCCTCCGGGCCTGAGTTCATGCTCTTTTCCCCGGTTCTTTTATATCACCAAACAGCAAAAAGAGACAAGTACAATCAATGTCACAAGCTACTTACTAATTAAAAAGATAGTATATTTAGCTCAGCAGCACAAGAGCTTGCCTGGCAAGTGTGAATTCAATCCCCAGTACCAAAAAAAAAGATAGTATAAAAACAGAGGAAAAATGAAATAGGTGAGTCAAGTGTGAAAAACAAAATTTAGGATATTAACTGCCTACAATGTATAATATATTACATAAGCACTAAATCAATTAAGTGCTTTTACATGGACTTTGCATATAGAGTGTTCAGAAGAAATTTTAAAAACACGAAGTATCAAACTGATGAATATTAAAATACATAATTTATATGGGATATGCTCTACAGGAACTTTGAATTTTATTTTATTTTATTTTATTTTTTGAAATAATGTGTTCCTAGACTCCGGAGCAGCTGAAATAAGAGGTGTGAGCCACTGTGCCTTGTGACTCTTGAATTTGAATCAAACTTTGTCAACCAAATACTTGCAAAGAGTCTTATTATATAATGACAAATAATTAACTTGCTATTACCAAAAGTATGAAACTCACGTACTATAGTAATTTCAACTCTAAGCTGGTTTTACTGATATGAATAAGGATTTCAAATCTTTAAAGCTAACCTTGGTTCTGAATAATTTTCTTACTCTTTCCTGGACTAAGACACTATTTTAAATCTTACTGTGATAGCAAAACTCTTACTATCTTTTCTAATTAAATACTGTGGGAAGAGAAAGTCTAATACCCACATATGAGAAGCTAAACCCAGGATCAATGAGACCTAGTAACAAAAAGTCACTTGTGATCCAGGATTTCTGAAAGATGAGCTATTCAGCTAATTTTACTTCTAGGTAATATGCAACTGGAATAGTTTTGTCTTAAAAATGTATACTGTGATTTTCAAAAACATTAAAATTTTTTCTATCAAACTGCTAATGCAGTTGCCCTTGAAGTGGCAAAGTTCTTGGTACAACAGAAACAGAAAGGCATAATTTAAATATAAATATGTGTACCTATACTTCTTTGAATGGATTAGTGTTAACAAGATGTCACCAGTTCGGCAGCCCAAATCTGGATGAGGAAAAAAGGAGAGATGGAAAAACTGGTTCAAAAGAGCTGAGAACAGGATGTTTGGAAAGGAAACATTAAACTAAATAAACTCATAAACACTTCTGTGTATTTATTCAAAATAAGCACGCCAAAAGGAACTTTTTTCCTTTCTAGGACTGAAGACGAAACTAAATAAGAAATGTTAAATAACCTCAATCAAAAGTACCTCTTTTCTTTGGTCTTTCTATTTATGAAAAATGGCTTACTAGCAAAGCAAGTTCCTTCCTATCTTTAGCACAGTTATATAGGTCTCTTTTGGCCTAAAAAATGCAAACTTTAGTGACTTACAGGATCACATGATCATGAGTAATAAAGAATGTGCTGATCTACATTCAGAAGTCAGGATTCACAGGTTAGGAACTTACAGTTGTGATTTCTTATGAGACACAACTTCTCTATAAATAATAAGAGAAAATGTATGTGAACAGCTTACTGACTCTCAAAATATAATCTTCAGTCTACTGCCAAAGCAAATCTAAGATCAAAATTTCTAATAATTTTTTAGCTTAATGTTCAAGAAATATATGCTTTAAAACTTTCACACTCACTTTATCCAATCTATGGTTCTAATTCATGCTCTGAAATATTCTCTTCTCAGTCTTGATAAATTAGTAGTTCAAAGATATCTGAACATCTATCTACAAGATGTCAGTTCTTTTTAAGCAATGAGGATACCTGAGTATACAAATCAGATAAGTTCCTTGATAGAACACAGCTTACAAAATAATCAGAGTGACAACTGGTGGTAAACCCTATGACAAAAAAAAGGAAGAAAACAATAGGGAAGATAGAATGGATTTTTCAAGAAGCCCTCGCTGAGGAATGCTTTGAATAAAAATCTGAAGAAGGTATAAGAGATAAGCAGCAGGTCTGAGGCTGGTTGTGGTGACACACACCTGTAACCTCAGCACTGGGGAGGCTGAAGCAGGAGGATCGCCATGAGTTTGAGACCAGCCCAAACTACAAAGTGATTTCAAGGCCAACCTGGACAATATAGAGAAACTGTCTGAAAAAGAAAAAAAAAAAAAAAAAAAACCCGAACACGAGTGCAGGCCCTCCAGGAGCAGGCTTCAGCAGAGCTGGTGTGGCTAGAAGACAGTGATCACAGGAGTGGTAGTAAGCCAAGAGATGGCAGACTGTGGAAGCACACATGCATTCAGTGCCTACATGTGTGTGCACTTGTGTACATGTTCTTAGGACATCAAAGATCACACAAGTCCTTCAGCTTTTTACCTTAAAACCTGAGCAGCAAAAGATCAAGGTCTCAGAGGAACAACAAAGTGACTGGGGTTGCTGTTTGGAGAAGTGGTAAGGCACAGGATTACTGAGGAGCCTTTATAAGCACACAAGAAAAGGATGATGAGGCTTAGACCAAGGTCAAAGCAGCAGGGGCAACAGAAGTAGTGAAACTTTGGTCATGTTTCCAAGACAACAGTAAGAAGATCTGCAGACACACTGGAAGTGGCATTAGAGGGAAAAGGAGAGCAATAGTGACTTCAGGGTTTCCACCCTAAGCAACCCAAAGCACAGCAACTACTATTGGAGAGGGGGAAGACTCCAGAAGATCTGGGAAGTTTTTAGATATACTACATTAGATTTGCTCATGCTTTCTAACAGAGTTTTTATAGCTCTTCAGAACTTTCTGCAACATGTAGAGATGTTATAAATCAAGTGATTCTGCTTAGTACTTGTAATTGATTGGTAGGTTAGTTCTTGTTTGCAGTTGGATCTTTATAAAACTAATGAAACAAAAGTATTATTTATTAACAGCTCTAACTAAGAACTCAATACTTTAATTATGTATCCTCTATCTTTACACATAATATTCAAGAAGACAATTTGGTAAAGTTACTTAGGAAAATTCCTAATTATAGAAAATAACTGTAATATTATGATACCTACTTTTGTTGTCACCCATGGTTTCCACCTCACAATTGAAGTTTCCCTTGTTTTACTCCAAACCTACTTTTCCATTTTTATCTTTGTAAACAGCACCACCTTATGTTCCTCGATGGTTCCAACATTCAATCTTTCCCCTTCCCATTGTCAGCCAAGTCTTACACACTAATTTTAACTGTGTAACACTTGATGTCTTTCACAGAATAAAATATTTTCAAGTCATTTCTTCAATCCAAAATTAACATATAAAACATTTTTCTCCAAGAACATTCTCTTCAAAAAAAAGCAAAAAGGGGCTGGGGATTTAGCCCAGTGGTATAAGCACCTGCCTTGCAAGCAGGCAGTCATGAGTTCGATCCCCAGTACCGATAAAAAGGAATAAAGACAAAAGGAAAAAAAAAAGAACATTCTCTTACTTTATAATGTTTGAGTAGGGCAAATAAAGTAATTCATCTTCCCTAGGTATCAATAATTTACAGTGAAATTAAAACAGATTTTTAAAAACCACGAACAACTGACTAGCCTCAGATTTTTTAATCCATCACAATGCAAAATCCAGAAGCCATAAAAGCAAATCCTTCATCTGAATATATGTCCATCTCACAATCTCACACCCAAAACCTGTTTCTCTTATCAAAGGATGGCAACCCTTTAATTACCATCATTCAGGTCAAAACACAGGAAGTCATCTGTGAGTCCTGTCTTTACTTCACATACCAGCCAGCCAGGTGCCCACTGCCTCAGGCTCTTTAGAGCTGCCGTTTCTTCTTCCTGGAGGGTACTTGCCTCACACGTACCAAAGCTTCCCAGTCTTACTTCTGTAAGGTCCCCTACTCAAATGTAAAGCTCAGTGAACCTTCCATAGGAACTTTATTGAAAGGGGCAACCTTCACCTGCCTTGCCCTGAGCAAGGAATGTGACATGAAACTGAAGGCAGAGACAGTGTACTAGCCGCTGGAAGAAGGACTGAGTTTCTAACTCAGTCTCCTCTTTTCTACAGATAACAGGAAGCCCAGGGCACATGTAGCAGCGGACAAAAGCACAGTAGGGAGGCTGGGCCTGCCAGGTGCAGACAGGGCCACAGAACTTGACCCTGCTGACCTCTGACCTGTGCATCCTTCCAGGCAAGGGGATGAGGATGCTGTCAGGCCACAAGAAGAGCAGTCCCTCTGAGAGCAACTCTGGCTTTAAGAGGTTCTTCATAGGCTGAAGGTAGGCAGGCAGAGTCCAACAACTACTGAGTGCTGCATAGGACGTGGTGGGTAAAGAGGTATAATGATAAGTATGGATTCATGCTGGGCAAAGAGAGGTTTTTTTACCTTTTACTTTTCCAACATACACACAAAACTGTAGGCATAGGGGCCAAGGATGTGGCTCAGTGGCACGACGCCTGCCTGGCACATGTGAGGCCCTGAGTTCAGCTCCCAACACAAAAACAAAGAACAAAAAAACTGAAGGCAGGACTGTCCAAAGAGGTCTCCCTCTGCCCTACTTCTCTCACCCAGTCTGCTAACTTCACAGCTTAGTTTCCAATTTGTTGTTTTTTTTTCCTTTTTAAAACAAAGATTGATACATATATACAAATATATGCCTATGAGGTACATATATAAAGGGGGGCAACCTTAATGACACTCTCTCTCCTGTTGTCAACTTTGTCTTCTTCCAAAGCTTTTATCTTAATTATTATTTGTTTCTGTCTCTTCCACTAAAATGTAATAAGGAGTAGTTAATTTAATGTCTTCAAGGATTTAATACTTCCTCCTAGGTTAAAGGGCAAAATGATTTTCACTAGAAATTACTAAAACTTTTCTTAAATTTGCTTTGTTGGTAGCTATACTGGACCTGAGTACCTAGAACACAGCTGGTGCTAAGAATCCGCCCAGGTCAGGTGAACACACACATCAGAGACGGGGTAGCGCTAAGGGTTAATAGTGGTACACTCTCAGATTTGTTTCAGTGTGTCACACAACAGGCATGCCTAGTTAAGTAATTTTATCAAAATAACCCAGTGTTCTGAGAATGCAGCCCTATACAATTAAGGCTTAATATAATTTCTACAACCAAACAGATATTAGAAGTA